ACGGCACTGAAAAAAGTGACTAATGACCATTTTTCAAACTTATGACCACTGCAGCATCCCCATGGCCACATAATCAAAATTTGAACACTTGGCAGCTGGTACGTATTTATGAGGGTTGCGGTTTCCTGGTCTCATGTCATCACCTTTTGCAACCTTCTGACAAGCAAAGCAAATAGTAACAGTAAAAAGGAGTAAACAGTAACTGAGTTGGAAGGGACCTTGGAGGTCATTTAGTCCAACCCGCTGCTCACCCAGGAGACCTGTACTAGGGATTCGAACTGCCAAACTGCCGACCTTTCTGATCATAAAAATTGGGCAAAGCTCACTTAACTCAATATAGAGTCACATGCAGTAGTCTTGCTTAGCAATGTAGTCTTGCTTAACAACAGAAATCTGGGGCTCAATTGTGGTCATAAGTCGAGGACTACCTATAGAATATAATGTCTGGTGGGCCTTTGGAGCCCCAATCAAGGCTGTTAGAAACTGCATGGGATCCTGACATAAGTAGTTCCTCTGTGTTTAAGACTAAGGAAACATATGATGAATCATTATAACCTTTGGTTTTGGCACACAATAGATACATCACACATCCAAACATATTGTCCCTCTCCCTCTTTCTTCTACACATTCGTGAGGAAAACTGATTCAGTCAGAATCAGCTAGATAACAGTGTGGTTGGCAGAAACTGTATGTACATTAACATCCAATTCTAAATTTAGATTCTGCTTTTGATTTATTTTTAGCTATGACAGATGCCCAACTAATAATTGTGATTCTACATTTAATTAACTTTCACATGACCTACTGAACCAATGTGACTTATGACTGAATCAATGTGGAAGGCACATTCAATTAACAACTGTAAGAAAGGTCATAACATGAAGCAAAACTCACTTAACATCTGTCTTGCTTAGCAACAAAAATTTTGCCCTCACTTGTAGTCATATATCGAGGACTTCCTGTACATCTTTAGATGCTTGAAAAATCAGAAGCTACTTTTGACCCCTGGTTTTTTGGTCTCTTATCATTTGTTCTTGTTCAGCCACATTTTAAGAATGGAATTAAATCAATTTGATATAAATAATGTGAAATAAAGCCTTTTGTAGAATTAGAGGTGTAACTATTGTGGAAAATAGCTACGGCTGAATATACATTGCAATAAGATTTGTTACAAGTTCCAATTTGGATTCAAATGAATCAGTTCAATACATTTTTCATAAACTAATCAAATGCTGTCAGTTAGTGACTGTAAGCCATATCTGATTAATTGTGTATGTACCTACTTCATTAATAAGAAGCAAATATTGTCAATATTATATAAAGTTGTGTCTTAAATACAACTAATTTCCTTTTAAGTCTTGAAATCATCATCTGGAAAAATAGTTTGCAATTTCAACTTGATGAATCTCACGGAAACTCTTTGGGGCTCATAATTCCTGTTCACTCTATTTCAGCAAGAATTCACCATGATGATCGGTTGCATTAAAATCTGTACATTATTAAAATTCTTGTGTCTGTAACCTTTAACTAGACAAAACTGTGCATCATAGGGCAAGATTTTTTTTTAAAATAAGATACTTTATATAAGTAAACTTGCAGAGTGTGTGCAAACTCCAGGGGCCCATTGCTCCTATGAAATTGAAATTTGGCAAATTTTATAAACACTTTATGACATAAAAGTTATGTAAACCATTTTATGGCACAATATAAAATGCCATAAAAATTTCCTGTGGTTAACTCCTGCTGTTTGACTATGTTGAACATGAGGTACTTTCAAGGCAGACACATCTACCTTGAATATCTTCCTGGATTTTAAAGAAATTTTCCAGTGAAATTAGTATCTTAGAAGTTCTGTCACTGTTGAAGACACAGAGACATCCAATAAGACAATGTCTCTGAAATGATAACCCAATGGGTCAGGGTTGTCTAGCTTCAATGTGTAAATTGTAACCTTTATGGCTTACATTGGCAGATTTGAAAGCAAATTGATTCATATTATCATCTTTGGTGACAATGCCCTATTAGTCCTTTTGTTGAAAATTTTGAAGAAATGGGGAAGATCATTCAACAATCTTTCAAATGAAACTCCTGTTAATTTATTGTCCATATTTCCTAGGGAATGTAAATTGACTGAATAGAAGAAATCAATTCTTGCTGTTAGCTGTCAAGTTTCTTACTGCAAAGTGCTATCCTTCACTGGAGCAGTAGTATTTACAGCTATGAGTTATTTGCTTTGGCTGAATAATTAATACAAGAACATAAATGCAAGAAAGATAAGTTTATTCAAATAGTTTTTATTTTAACCATATTTTCCTAGTTGATTTCCCTTGTTGGCTAAACAAATTTTAGTCTGTATGGAAATATGAATAAGGATATTTAAAAAGTACAAATACAGACACTAATATTGTACCTGTGAGTTGGGTGAGGGAGCTAGTCAAAGTCCTCTTATACTGAGCCAAGGTGGCACAGTGGTTAGAGTGCAGTACTGCAGCCACTTCAGCTGACTGTTAGCTGCAGTTCAGCGATTCAAATCTCACCGGCTCAAGGTTGACTCAGCCTTCCAACTCAGTTA